ACCTGATCTTTTAATAGGGGTGTGTAGACTTTCTTTGCTAAATACTGAAGTAAAAACTTAAGTAATCCAACTCTTATAAACAACTCTTATCAACACATTAAACCTTAGTTGATGACTAAGTTTTATGTGACTATGTGACTAAAGTGATTAAGTCACTTTAAGAAGTGACTTAAATATTAAGTCACTAATCAAATCCCTTAAGACTACCCTGGAGGTGTATCTAAAGTCCCTCAAACTGTACCCATGGCCTTTTTTTTTATACGGAGCCTTTCTAAAAGACCCAATAAATGGTAAAAGGATTGTTGGTAGAAATAGCAAGACTGAATTTATACACCGACACAAACATAAAGGTATTTTTAATATTTTTCAGTGGAAGAAAATTTTGATGAGTCAAGTAAAAAAATAAGGGTCTAATTTCTCTCTGGTTTTCCTATTTACAGCAACCGAAAGCAGAAGTCGTTCTCCCTGACTGAGGAGCTCCTGAGTAAAAATACCCAGCTTTCAAAGAAGAACTCAGAACTCTGCAGGGAGGTGGAGGAGAAACTGCGGAGGTGAGAAACCCTGACTTTCTCTTCCAGGATTTCCTCTTCAATTCTCCTCAGCTCCCTACCCTGGACACACATTACACAACGTTCTGCGTTGAATTACGTTGCCTGGATGGGTAGGAGACATCATGAATCTCTTGACAGGGACTTTTCCTGGCCAAATCCTCTGAATTTAGGAGGTCCCTGCTTTGATCTCCTCCTCTGCTGCTCACTGACCTCAGTTCTCGGCTCCCCCTCGGCTCTCCCCAGTTCAGTCTTCTCCCCCTTCTGTCCCCATTAGAAAGTTTGGAAATTGTTTTGAATTGGTTGGTGCCTTTTCTGGTATGAAAGCCAAAAAAGGGGGAAAAAAAGGTTTTAAGATCTGAAGATTCCTTTGTGGTACTTATAGATTATGAAATGCTAAATACTGAAAGTAAAAATTCATTCATTTGCACTTAAATAATGTTGTGAAGACTGAAGAAGCGAATCAAATCCCTTCAGAATATGCTGGAGATGTAGACAGGATCTACCGATTTGTCAGTTTTCCTGAGCATTTCTGAAGTGCCTAATAAATCATTGAAATCTTTCCTGCTTTGGTTCCTGTGAGAAGAACTTGGCACTGTAGCTGTGGTAACAGAAATGGCAAAACTCAAGTAATTAAAAAGTAAGGCTGGGTAAAACAAAGGAAGTGCCAGGCATTTTAGTTAGTTTTCATTTTAAAAGGGTTTGATGATTCGGGTGAAGACCTGAGGGGGCTCATTTCCCTCTTGTCTTCCTATTTTACAGAATCCAGATGTTGGAGCAACAAAACCTCCATCTCCACTGCAGGGTTCTGAAGGAAGCTGGGGAGAACCAGGAGCTCCTCGGGGAGAACCAAGAGTTGCGGGAACAACTGGACAGGTAAGAAATACCGTGTTTCCCAGAAAATACAACCTTCCCCGAAAATAAGTCCTAGCCTGATTTTTTGGGGTGGGCCTAATATAAGTGAAGGGGTGGGCGTGGCCAGCACAGGAGGCAGCCCTTCCCTTCCCCGGTCACTTCATGGAGGCTCGGCCCCTTAATTGCAGCCCGTGAATCAGCTGAGCCAGCGAGGGCCGGGCAACTCAGCCCAGATCTCTGGAGCACCCCCCCAGCCGCCAGCCTGCCAGGACCCCCTTCGCCAGCAGTCGCGCTCCCCTGCATGAGCTCCATGGCGACCCTGCAGCGAAATGGAGGAGGGAGATCATCCCTTCTTCCTTTGCACCCCAAAACCCCGTCTTCCCTGGCCACCAAGCCCCCTGCATGCCCCCACTCTCACTGGAGCAGGACGTGCAATTCAATACTGGTATTACCCATGGAGCCTCCCAAGTGCAACACTCTGCTGTCACTTCAGAGCAAACCTCCTCCTCCCCCCACATTTTCCTACCAATTGTTCTTTCCTTGGCACCACAGGACATCCCCAAAATGTTCCATCCGAAGGCTTCAGCTGTTGGGAGAGGCCTCTGTGCTGCGATCCCAAATAAAGGACAGTGTGTGTGTGTGTGTGTGTGTGTGTGTGTGTGTGAGTGTGTGTGTGTGTGAGAGAGAGAGAGAGAGATTCAACCTCGGAGAGTTATCCAGGGCTGGCAGCAATGTGCTCTCTCTCCTCCTCTCTCTCTCACACACACAAACACACACACGCAAACATACACACACACACACACACAGAGACAAACACACACATACAAACAGAGGTCCCTCAGCCCTCCCCACTCCCACCCCCAAGGCAGCCTCATCCCTTCACTAACCTGCTTTCCAGCTCCGTTCTCCGCTGCGCATGCAGGGAACGGACAGAAGTCTCGGACTCCAGTAAAAGAAATAGTTGAGACCTTCAAACTTTGCGAGATTTTTTTTTTTTTTTTTTGCATGAAAAGTTGGAAGGTCTCAATTATGGTGGGGTTTTTTTTACCAGAGTCCCACAGACTTCTTGTCCCGCCTGCTCAGCGGAGAACGGAGCTGGAAAGCAGGTGAGTGAAGGGATGTCGATGCCATGGGGGGATGGGGGGGGTGAGAGACCAGTGTGTGTGTGTGTGTGTGTGTGTGTGTGTGTGAGAGAGAGAGAGAGAGAGAGAGAGAGAGAGAGAGAGAGAGAGAACATCACCACCAGCCCTCCAAGGTTGGATCGGATCTCTCTCTCTCTCTCTCTCTCCTCTCCCTCTCTCCTGCAGTGGTGGAGCTTCAGTGGCTGGCCGGTGGGGCGCTTCTCACTCACCCTGCCTGGGGCATGCCGCAGCCGAGACGTGCCCAGCAGTAGCTGGGTCAGTAGGCAGGGTGAGTGAGAAGCTCCAGGGCCTGATGCTGGGTGGCTGGGAGGCTTTCAGCTCAGCTGCCAGTCCTGCAGTGACTGGTAAGGTGGGGGTAAGGGAGGGGCTTCACCTGGTAAGGGTGGGGCTCTCATGACTCCCCTGACACACTGGGTGGCAAGTCAAGGGAAGGGAGGGGAAGAGTCTCTTTTCTTTCTCAAATGGGTAAAAGGCCCCCATTCCTCCATTCCAGCTATGGGGAGAGAGTCTCAGCAAAGTTCTGCCATGTGCTGGTCACTCAGGAGTGCCAACATCACTTCTGAAGAAGCCCACTTGGCTGGTGACCTCTCTGTGGAGATCTTCTCTGACTTTCTCCAAACGCCTGTTCTGCAGCTCTGATTCTTGGATGGCCATTCTGACCTGGTTGACTCCTTCTCTGTTGTCCTCCGGAGTTTTCTGCTGGTCTTCCATTGTGGCCTGGTAAACACAGGTCTGCTGCTGATGCCGATTGTTGAGCTGCTTCTTCTCATTTCCCCTCACATTCTGAAGAGGGGTGACTTTCTGCCTCAGTTGGCTGGAGGGGCTTTTCTCCACAAAGTGGAACTTTGGTCCAACTCAGCCAGTTCATGCTGCAGACTCTAGAGGTTCTTCTTAAGTTCTTAAGAAGGTTCGATACCTATTTGAGGAGTTTCTCAGAGGTTCTAAGGGAGCCTTCTCAAGTCTGAGGAAGGCCACTTGGCTAGTAACCTCAGACATTTCTTTCTGGAGTTCTTCAGTGTGTTTCACCAAAGATTTGTTCTCCTGATCTAACTGGTGGATCATCACGTTGGAATGGTCCAACCTCCCTTTGTTCTCCAGCAGAGTTTTCTGCAGGTCTTCTGTTGTGGTCTGAAGTTGATCCACAGTCTGCTTGAGACAACTGTGCTGCTCTTCCATCCCTTGTTTGTCTTTCTTGAATTCCTGGATCTGAAAGTCAAAGGAATCTCTCAACTGGTTAATCTGGAGATGGAGGCCATCACTGCTCGCTGAGAGATTCCCCAAGGATCTTCCCTAAAGGACCTTTTCTTCCCTGGTGCTGACCTGTTTGAAAAATGGAGAGACATGGTCACTTCCTCTCTCAGTTCAGGGGACATTTTGCTAACCGGCCTTAAGTCCACAGATGCCTTCAAGGGGCCCAGTTTGAGAAACACTGACACAATCCATCACAACTGGTCTCCCTTCAAACTGCCCTGACTTCCCATTTGATTCTGGCTCCAATTCGAGGCATCTCATCTGTCAAAACTCTCCAAAGGAGTCGGAATCAGCGATCGATCAATTCGGCCATCTCTGGCACTGCTAGGGGGCTTCTGATCACAGGGAAAGGGGGAGGTGACCATTCGGATTAGGAAAGAGCCCCCCCTCCAAGTACTTACCAGTCCCATCCAAGGCACGAAAGCCTGGAGGGTCACCTTGGGCCAATCCCTCTCAGCCGTAGCCTACCTCACAAGCTTGTTGTGAGGGCGAAGGCGTCTTCAGCATGCCTTGAGCTATTTAGAGAAACAATAAAGGTGGATAAAAATCTAAGCAATAAAAAATGAAAATATATAAATAAGTCAATCACCAGGCCGAGTCTGTTTGGGAAATAACTACATCTGGCCAACGGAATCCCTTTTTAGGTTAATTTTCCCAGGTCAGTTTCCAGCTTTGGGGTCTCAATGCCTCTCCAACTGGGACATCCTGAAGCCAATTTTTTCCCTAGTTCATATCGCTGCCCCCCAGCCGCCCGGCCCCAGCCCCTTTCCCCAGACAAGGACCTTCGACATGGTGGATGAGGAGTTTGGTGACAGGTACGGAGGCTGCAGACACGGCAGGTATCAGCACGTCTGTTGTGTTTGGCTTAACCCCATTTCACTCGTCTCTCCCCCCCTTAATTCTGCCTTAAAGGGGAGGGTCTCTCCCTCCTGAGGAGCCCAGGCGAGGGAGGCCCTGCGATGCCCCCAGTGCTGCCATCCAATCCAGCCACTTTCCAGGGATGCTGAGCAGAGCCTCCGTTATGTGGTCCAGATTCCCCAAGGATGCTGGTGGTTGCCATGGTGAGCTCCAGCCAATGAGCTCAGGAGGAGCCTCTGACGTCACAAGCCAAGGCTCTGATTGGCCTGGACCTGAGATTTGAATAATAACCCCCAACCGGCTGCCTTCACCTGGGGGCGGGGCTTATCCACAGATGAGCCGACTCTTAAAGGGCTCTTACAAGGAAGCCCTGAATCGCGTCAACCAGAGCTCGTCCATCCGAACGGACAGCTGTCAGTTGTCTGGAGAGCTGGGAAGCCACAGGTTGTTCCCCTTGTTTGGGGGTGCAGTCCAAATTGAAACGTTGTCCCTTGTATCTGGAGTCTGGCGTTAGAGAGCCAGGGAATCCAGGCTTTCCTCTCCAGGCCCAGCTGAAGAGGAGTTGGAAGAGAAATAGGAGGAAGGATCAGGGATCATTCAGCTGAAGAAGAGATGGTGAGAAGGTGGCTGAAGAAACACAGGGATTCAATTTCACACCGTCCCTAATCAAGGACCCTGTAGTCGTCTTCTGCTTACAACCAGGAGAGTCCCAGGTTCTGATGGCCCTGAAAAAAGGGATCTATGACGGGTCCTCGCACGTATGACTGAAAGCAGCCTCCCCATGGTCACACGCTCCTGACAACGGGCATGGAAATACGACAAGCAACATCAAAGGTGAAAACTGAACTTGCTTAATGACCACCTGATTCACTAAACAATGCAGCGATTTGCTTAATAACCATGGCAGAAACATTGCAAAACTGAGAGCAACTCACTTAACGACCACCCAGCTTAGCAATTGCAATACTGGTCGTAAGTCAAGGACTATCTTAAGGATGCAGCAGCGGACTGATCTGGAAAAGCTGAAGCAGGCTTGGATTTAAACAGGGTTGGGAGACCACCAGGAGATGCCAGGGTTCGGTTGAGAAGGGAGTCAGAAGCTTTTTCTCCCTTTTCCCTCCCCCGTTTTCCCTTCCATTTTCTCCTGCATTTCTGCATTTTATATTAGAATCTGAGAAAAAAAATGAAAAAGCAGAGAGAGAGAAAAAGGCAGTGGCCGACCACTCCTGCTCTCAAGAAAACAGCCTGGATGCAGCCGTCCAATTCATGGGGCTGATCCCACCACACCAAAGGCCGGGGGGCTTTCATTCCTCTGGGACCTGCAGAGTGACCAGCCGAAATACTCACTTAATGACAAGGACTATTGCAAGGACCCACCTCCAGAACCCGAGGGGTTGGGGGGGGCTCTCTGTGTCCAGGAGGTTCTCTCCTTTGCTCTCGGATGGGGCTGCTCTACCCCAGAAAGACCCGGGGAAGGGGATTGGGGGGCTCCTGCTGGAAGACGAGGCAGCAGTGGGGACCAGCAGGGCCTTTGCCCAATATCCGTCCTGCCTTAACAGTGACAATGGTTAAGGCATCAGTCCAAGTTGTAAGAGATCCTGAGTTCAAGTCCTGCCTTAGCCCTGAAAGCCTGTTTGCTGACCTCGGGACAGACACTCTCTTTCAGACAAGCCCACCTCACAGGGTTATTGTTGTGAGGAAAAGAGGAAGAGGAAGAAGAGTTGGACATGTTCACCTCCTTTAGTTATTTGAAAAAATAATAAAACAATGAAAATAAAATCTAACAAAAATAAAAACCGGCTTTCCTGCTTTTTTTTTCATGGAATCTGTCACAGCCTTGTGCAGATACAGGAATTTCTCTTCTCACAAGGAGGAAGAGTTTTTTTTTTAATCATCCCTTCCAATTTCACTCACTCCTTTTTTTGCAGTTTGGGGCCATTGGACCCCCTCCCAGCCCTGGGACACAGCAGGTTTCTCTGTTTCTTTGGGAAAGATTCCTTCCCCAATCAGAGTCTGCCTGAGCCCCATCATCCACTTCCCTCCCTGCCTGCCTGGGATCAGCTGAATTCCTCCATTCAGACAATAGGAAAAAGGGAGTTTGCACAGAACCTCTGGGTCAGCCTCCATTCTTCCACACAGACGGTCCCACTCACTCCACAAAGCCAAATTCTCCCTCAGTTCCTGGATACCTCCAGACATCGCTCGGCTGAGCTCACAGCAGGGCCAGGGCGGCTGAGAAATTGGGACGGAAGGGACCACAAACACCCCACAAACCTTTCCAGCCACAAGAGACACTTGGACACAGACTGTGGTCTGACAGAAGCTCCTAAATGGTGCCTTTATGTGGCAGTGGGAAGGATTATGGGACCAACCTCACAACACTCACCCCAGGGGTAGGTTCTAATTTTTTTTACTACCGGTTCTGTGGGTGTGGCTTATTTTGTGGGTGTGGCTTGGAGGTCATGTGACTAGGTGGGCATGGCTAGCTGGTCAGAGTCATTTCTGGAAGGTCCTCGCACTTACGATCAGTCCTCGCACTTACGACCCAACTCATTTGTTTGCTTTTAACACTGATCAGCTGTAGGACCGCCCTTTGAAGCTCTGCGGCAAGAGTTTAAACAGTTTTTTTCCCTCTAGTCATCAGGTGGGACTCAGGAGGCAGCAATAGATCGGGGGTGGGACCAAATAAAAGGTAAGAATAACGTAGGTGGGGGGGGGGTGGGAGGGCGGGGGGGAGAACCGGTTCGGTGACGTCATATCGTCACCGCTACCGGCATGGCCGGACCGGACCGAACCGGAGGAACCCACCACTGCCTCACCCTATAGGGCTGCCCCATCTGTTGTCCCTGGTGGCAGATGGAAGATGGTGAATCCCACTCCTGACACCAGTTTCTGTGGAATCAAACACAGGAGCCAAAAAACCAATAATCCAGGCTCACTGCAGTTGTTATTTATTCAGTGTCCACTGGAGAAATTTCCCTCCAGAAAATAGTGGGAGGAAATCTTAAGACAGAAGGATGCACTCATATTTATACATTCCAGGAAAGGAGGAGAAAATGACAATCATACATACGCATATTTCATTTAATACATGATGTGAGCATGAATATTCAGAATTAGCAAGACTCAAGTTACCTCCCCAGCCTTCTATTGTTGCTACCCTCAAGAAAGAGTTATTGTGTAAACAAAAAGAAACATCTCAGTTCTGTTGCCACAGCAGTTTGGGTGAAATGTACTGAGAAATGAGGGCATCAACATTGCTCCATACATTCCTTCTATATTTCTGTCTTGCTAACATGCTCCCATTTCTCCAAGAAATTTGTCTCCTCAAAATCTTCCACACACCCTTTATTTATTTCAAGAAAAATTGTTGGCCCACTCATGCATGGAGAAGAGCTTGGACCATTTTCTATGTTTGGACTGTGGAAAATGTTAAAAGTTGAAATTCCTCAGTCTCACATTTACACATTTCTTCTGGCTGTAAGCTGCTCCTTTACGTACAATTCAATAATTTCCAAATTTGAAACATATACATATGATTTTCTTTTACCCCTGCATACCATCTAAATGGAAAGAATATCTCCTTTCTAATAAAAGAAACTTTTAACAATTCTTTCAATATCACATTTGTGTTATATCTCATGTTTTTACATTTGTTCTGGCTGTGAGCTGCTCCTTTGTGTTGAGGTCCGGCCTCAGAAGGATAATGTAGCACTTGGGGATGAAGATGCAGCCCAGCAGACCAGCACTGGAGGCCAGGATGGAGAAGACCTGCACAGCCACCATGTATTTCCCTTTGGTGCTCAGGTAGGTGGGCACAAAAGTCACCCAGACACTGCAGAAGACCAGCATGCTGAAGGTGATCAGCTTGGCTTCGTTGAAGGCCCCAGGCAGATTCCTGGCCAGGAAAGCCACCGTGAAGCAGATGGCAGCCAGGAAAGCCCATGTAGCTGAAGGTGACGTAGAACATGACAACGGCCCCTTCGTTGCATTGCAGGATGATCTCTCCAGGCTGGGAGTGGAGGTCAGAGTCAGGGAAGGGGGCAGAAACTCCCAGCCAGATGGAGCAGATGATAATTTGGACAGAAGAAGAAGAAAGGATGATGGAGTTGACCAAGCTCTTCCCCAACCATCTCTTCACTCGGTTTCCTGGTTTTGTGGCCAGGAAGGCCAGCACCACCGTGATGGTTTTGGCCAAGAGAGAAGAAACGGCAACTGAGAAGATGATGCTGAAGACCATCTGTCGGAGAAGGCAGGTGGCTTTCCTTGGTTGACCAATGAAGAGAGAAGGAGACAAGAAACAAAGCAGGAGGGAGACCAGGAGGATGTAGGAGAGGTCCCGGTTGTTGGCTTTGACAAGGGGAGTTTCTAGATACTTAATGAAGATGATTAAAACAAGGCCTGTGGTTAGGAAGAAGAGTAGGGCAAAAGAGACCAGGATGATGCCCAGATGTTCTTCATAAGACAGGAAGGTTACAACTTTGGGGATACATTGGACTCTGGCCTCATTTGGGTATTTATCATCTGGGCACTTGGTGCATTTTTCTGTATCTGAGAAAAGGAAAAAGCAATATTTCCTCAATATTCTGTCCTTTACATTTCAAGAAGTCCTCTTTTTTTTTGGACTGATTCCAGCAATATTTTCCAAGGGTGTGTTCTTTAACCATTCCACAGAAAATAATGATAATATAATTTTCTAATACATTTGTAGCTAACTATATGAAATTGGAGGATTTCTAGTGCATTTTGAATAAACACAAAAAAGAGTTGAACTTCAAGGCATGTTTTAATTTGCACTTTCATCAAAATGCTCTGGATAAATCCATTTCCACCAGGCCTTCCTTTCCTCTGATGTCACCCACCTTCCTGAGTGGAGATGGTCCCCTCCGGACAAGGAACACAATCATAGCAGCAAACTGGCTCTCCTTCTCGAGCCCTCTTGACAAATCCAGGATGACAACTTTCCACACATTTGGACTGAGGCAGGGACTGAGCAGAAAAACAAGGAATGCCAAAGAAAATATGTTAGGATCTCCATCCATGGAAAATGGGGAGAGAAATGGACATTAGACAAGTAGCCTCTATGCTTCACTGAGGTAAATATGAAATCTCTGACTCCTTCCAAACAGGTGTAGGAGATGTGACCCTGGAAGGTTCTTCCTTTAGTTCCTCCCTTTTGCTTCTGGCACAACACATTGGAATAATAAAGGACTTTTCTATTTAATAAAGTCTGGAAGGATGGAATTGAGAAAAGATTTAAGCATTGTGAGAAACTTAAAGGTTCCCCCTCATGACTGTATTAAAATGCATTCCTCCACTCTTCATCTATCTATCCATGGTGATGATGATCATATTAATTTTTTAAATACAGTCATTGTCAAAGATTTATTAAATTATTTTATTTAATAAAGATTTATTTACATAGAGTAAAACGTTATTAAAAAGGAAACTTCTGACCAGTAGGGTCTGGAAAGGTTTCTTCTGGACTACAGAAAGCCTTGCAAAGCTGCTCCCCTTTGACACTAGTTCAAAACAGTCTCCCCGTTAAGAGACAAAGCAAAAATTCCTCATAAATTATAGCTGATGATGTTACCTAGTTGGGTAATGAAATGCCTGGAAGAAAACAAGCAAGCTCAGAGAGCACCAAGGAGCCCTCATGTCAGTCCTGAGCTACCAATATTCTCCTTTATTAAGACTGAAGGTTTCTGCATAGTTTCTAGAACTGTAGTGAGATTGAGGGGAGATCATGAGAAGGTTCCCTGAAAAAGGTTAAGTTGCAAACCTTTGGCTGCGACAGAGGGGACATGAGTGTGAGTCCTGGGTCAGAAGGTGATATTTCTGAGGCCCATCCAGTTATCCAAGAAAAAGTCCTTTGTGTTGAAGAACTCCTATTAAGAGACTCCAACTGGCATGGAAAGACTGACCCACATTTAATAGTAGTTGAATTTGGAGACTCCTTTTCAAGCAGAGGGACTGAAGGTGGCTAACACTCAAGATAAACAAGGCCATTCATTTTCAGATGAAGAACCCTCTTAATTATCAAAGGCCAAATCTAAGTAGCATTTCCTGTCACAATCTGTCTCATTACTTCTGATATCAGGAAGATCTTTTCTTTGAACTAAAGTTGTGTTTCAGGTTTCTGGGTCAAGGGATTCTCTCACTGGTCACTGTCATTTTACGTGAACTGAAAGCCTCGGACCTCCTTCCTAGGGGCAGAACGTCAATTGCTCCCCCCAGTTGGGAGAAAGACAGATAGGGCTACCTTTGACCAGGTCTGGACTACTTAAAAACATCACAGACCATGGACCTGCCCTTTGAGGGAACCATTTCCCAATGGCCTTTCCCTAAGCAGGACAAGAGGAAGCTTCTCCCCCAATGGGACCCCCAGGAGCTCCATCCAGCCATGATCCAATTTCATCTCATTCAGTCCAAACCTCAATTCAGGGTCTCTTCAACAGAATCCCCTTCAGCTTTGCTCTTTCAGGACAAGGAACAAACGAACCTGAGGCTCTTAACAACACAACCTCCAGCACTTGAGGGTTTCTCATCCCAGGTTGGACATGGCTGAACCAGCTACAAAGAGTCTTCAGTATTACAGCAGCTGAAGAACAGCTTGGGCAATAGTACTGAAGGCTCCCAAGTGGCCTATAGAAAGGAAACTATAAGGTTTCTACTCCCCATGTTCAATTCCCAGTGAAGGTCATGGACCCTGGAAACTAAGCTTAGTCCACATGAAATGGGTCATAAATCTTTGGAAAAAACAGGAATCACACCAAAATTTCTCCCACCTGGTTGAGCAGCTTAAGCCATGAAAGAGGTCCTTGGTAGATAGTAAGTCTCTGTCTTTCCAAAGTCCCCATTTGAAGTTCGATGGGATCCTCTTTGGGGAGAATCAAATAGCTCAAGATTGCCAGATCTGCTGCTACATCTCCATTTTGATCCAAGTAGAGTTCCCTATTAGATATATTGCAAAAGTGATTCTTCTGCAGGAAAGGATGGAACTGGAAGGGGAACATCCAGGAAGTTTAACATCTGAAAGCTTTTTTAAAAAAGCCCATTTAGCCTTTACACATTTGAATCTTTTTTCTACAGCTGCCTAACATCAAAATATATATTTAGAAAAATAGGCGTTACTCCCTTCATAAATAAAACAAATAAATAAATAAATATAAATAAATAAAATAAATAAATAAATTCAGCAAATTGCTCAACCCTATATTGGCAAAATATATATTAACAAAATATAATTGATGCAATTGGTAAATTATAGGGGACATTCTAGAGCAGATGATAAATAAAATGAATCATAGGGAAAAAAATTATTTATAGTTAATAAAATTTTATTAACTATATTCAGTCATTTGATGTGGTCCTGCTTCAGGAGACCTGGGCATGCGATAAGATATCCCTTACAGGGTTTACGGCCATTTCTTTGGCTGCTACCAAACAATTCAAGTCGGGAAGACCTAAGGGTGGTTTAGCTTGTTTGGTCTCTACCTCCCTGAAAGTGGAGACAGTGGAGCTGCCCCCCAGTGGGTCCTTAGCTATGGCGCTCCTAATTAAGAGAGGACACAGTAAAATGCTAGTGTTCAACGTTTACCTTCCCCCGACGGTGAGGCAAGCCGACACTAAGGCTCAATGGGGCGAACTGGAGAGCTATATTACCCATACAGAAACTAAATTTCCAGCGCCGTACATCTTTATAGGGGGTGACTTTAATGCCCGATTGGGAGGCCAAATTCTCCCACCAATTGAGGCACTTTACTCCCAAGAAATCTGCCAGGCCATAGGACACCAGATCTCAGCCAGGCATTCTAAGGATGAGCTAACAAATTTTGCCGGCATTCAATTAGCCCTCTTAGCATCCCAACACAATATGACAATCCTTAACGGGAGTACCCCAGGCGATCTAGCGGGTGAATTTACTTTTAGCTCTTCACGGGGGAGTAGTGTTATTGATTTTGTGATGGTTTCCCAGCCACTAAGACAGGCAGTCCATGTTTTTTTTGTGGACTGCCTCACGGAGAGCGACCACTACCCCCTGGTCACAATCATTGGGCTTTTTACAAATATACATCTGCCTAAGGGCCCCCAAATACTGGATCCTTATGTGACCTCTTATGCAAGGAGGATCAAATGGTCTCCCAAGACTGAAAGAAAGTTCCACTCTCTTTTATCATCGCCGGAGTGTCTTAGCCTATACAATCAGGCCTTAACATGCAGTGACTCAGCGGCAATCTCGACCTTCGAATCATTAATTAACAGTATTCAAAGGGAACTAGGAGCTGATCGTAGGCCAAGTGGCCCATATCGTCCAAGAAGCAATCCCTGGTTCGATGAAGAATGTGTGCTGCTCAGGAACAAGATCAGACAGGTTTACCTGCTCTATCGTAATCGAGGGGATAAACGCCTACCTGAGGACTATTACCGCCTGAAGCGGGAGTATAAAGGACTAATTGTTAAGAAAAAGAGGGCTAAAGAAAAAGAGAAGTGGGACCTACTTCTCCTCTCTATTCAGCAGAAAAACACCCGACTATTTTGGCAAATGGTCGCCTGTTCTCTGCCTGGTCATCAAGAACTCCCTCTCTGTTGTATTTCCAACAGAGATTGGGAAAGTCATTTTGGATCAATCTTCCAGGCTGAGTCACGACCGGACTCGGACAACAACTGCCCCCTGCAATTCCGGACTGGCACCCCGTGACTCATGCTGAGATCAACGAGCTTATCTCTGAACTTAAGTCAGGCAAAGCTCCTGGCCCTGATGCTATACCCCCTGATCTGTTAAAATCTAATCCCAAATGGTGGTCTCCTCTTTTAGCAACACTCTTTACCCATATCAATACCTCTGGCAGGATTCCTACCTCCTGGAACCAAGCAATTATTGTCCCTATTTTTAAACGAGGAAATAGGAACAACCCAGCCGATTATCGTCCTATAAGTCTGCTCTCTATCATTGGGAAATTGTACGCTAAATATCTCCAACGCAGACTCCTCACCTGGGTCGAGGAGTCCAACATTATTGGTGCTGAACAGATTGGGTTTAAAGCAGGCTGTGCCACATTGGACCACTGCTTTGTCCTAGCGCACCTGGTTGACAAATATGCCACCATACCAGGTGGTAAACTTTTTACTGCTTTTATCGATCTAAAGGCAGCATTTGATTCAATCCCAAGGGAATTGTTGTGGACAAAATTGCTCAAAAGCTCCATCGACAGACGTCTGTTGTTCCTAATTAGATCCCTATATAATCAGACTTCTAGTCAGGTCAGGTGTAGTTTGCAGGGAGAACTCTCTAACCTTATCCCGATAAAGAGTGGAGTAAGGCAGGGCTGTCTCCTGGCTCCTCTTTTGTTTAACCTATTTTTATCTGATTTGGCCTCTTATATTGGATGTATTGAGTCTCACGCCCCAAAGCTGTCAACAACGAAGATCCCGCTTCTCCTTTATGCTGATGACGCAGTCCTCCTATCACTGACAAGGCTTGGCCTGAAAAGGCTTCTCTCTGCATTTGGGTCCTACTGTGCTGAGAATCACTTGTCCATTAACTACGACAAATCAAAAGTCTTGGTGTTCTCTAGTGCCCGGAAGTTACACAACTGGGCTATTAAGGGTAATGCTGTTAAGCAGGTTTCCCATTTTAAGTATTTAGGTATACATTTTCAGAACACTGGTGCTTGGACTAGACACCGAACCCAGGTGCTGAATTCAGCTTTTTGTAGCCATCAGCAGATTTTAAGATTTTTCTATACCCAAGGTGGCCAATTTATTCCTTCTGCTCTGCGTATTTACAAAGCCAAAACCTTGGCCCAAACTCTTTATGGAATTCCGATATGGATACAGGGCTTCAAGGAGTGTATTGAAAGAACCCAGGCTGCTTTTTTAAGGAAACTTTTGGGTCTCCCTCCCTGTGTTGGCTTTGCTCCGATGTATCTGGAACTGGGCATTCGATCAGTCGAATGCATGGCGTGGATCAACACCTTTAAATGGTG